GACTGAAAAAAAGAGAGAGACACAGAGAGAGGGGTGTGCGAGGAGTGACAGGGTGTCAAGGCAGTGAGAGACAAGCAGCTGGACAGGAGGGTAAGTGTGTCGTGTGTTATTTATGTGTGTGTGTGTGTGTGTGTGTCTCTCTTCCTAGAGAGCGCTGACCTATAAAAGCTGATCAGTGCTACACAGCAGACAGGAGACATGATCCCTCACACCATCACTAAACCAACACACACACACACACACACAGAGGAGTCACAGTGTGTGTGTGTGTGTGTGTGTGTGTGTGTGTGTGTGTGTGTGTGTGTGTGTGTGTGTGTGTGTGTGTGTGTGTAATCTGCTACTTCTATCTCTGTGAGGACCACTTTTTACCAGCACTCACTTCAGTTACATGTTGGTTTTAGGGTTTGAGTTAGAACTAGGTTAAAGTCAGGGATAGACACTGAGGAATCAGGGTAACACTTTACAATAAGACCTTTATAAGGGATTTATGGATGGTTTATAAATTAATTGCTTGTTAACACGTTGTAAATCATTTATAAGCTGTTAGATGAAAAGGACAACCGATCTGGTGCCTGCCAAATAGTGAGCACATGTCTCTGTACTGTTAACCCTCATATCTCACTTGTTACTGAGCTTTCTTTGTTTTCTCCATCATCATGTTTGTACCTGCTGCTTCATCATGTTTGTTCAGTTACTAACAATGAACCACAGTCAGCGTCTTAACATCAAATTATGGCAGATCACATAATCATATCAAAGCAGATTCATCCTCTGAGGTCGTGGCAGTGTTGTTGACCTTGACATGCTCTCAGCAGCCGTCCTCATTATAATCACAGCTGTTGATCAGATCGTTCTGCTCAGTGGAGATTAACATGGAGATGCTTTCTGCTGGTTGTTCTCTTCTTTAGGACTTTATCATCCAGCTAGAACACAGGTGGGAACCTTCCTTTACCTGGTGAACTGCTCACCCATCCTTTGTCCCACTGTTCACATCTCTGTGATTCTCCCTCCATCATCTTCATGTTTCTTCTTCTCATTCTTACAACCATTTATTATCATTTACAAACATGTACAACTGGTAAAAGGTTAAAACACGTCACCATTTATTAATGAGTTACTATAAGGCTCCTTTTAACAGTTAGAAATGGTAGTAACTCATTAGTAAGATAAATGAGTAGTAAGCATTAACTTGATCTTGCCAAATAGTGAGCCTGCATCAGTTTATGAGGACTATGTTATACCTTGTTTTTAATTGTTTATTTATGATTTATAAGGTGTTAACAACTTAATTAATAATTATGAACCATTTAATAATCCTTTATGAAGCCCGTCTTATCGGTGTTGTCAGAAGTATAAAAGTACAAACATGTTTGTGTATGTTACAGCACACATCATACACACAGGTGAGATCTCTCAGCCTTGTTTGTGTTCACATTTGAGTGAATCTTTGGTTATATACTATACGTGCGTACTGTAAACGCCCACACACACACAAATACTACACAAGCAGATGCTGAATCTACTTGCACATGCGGGCCTTCAGAGACACAGTGTGTGTGTATGCTTCTCAAAAGCCAGGGAAGATAATTTGTGTGTATAGCCAGGGGTCTTGTGTAGGTATAATAATTTCATATATATATTCCTCGTTATTTCCTGTATACACCTTGACGGTTCAGGTTGATTTTGTGTGTGTGTGTGTGTGTGTGTGTGTTGTGTATGTTTGTGTGTGTGCGCATGCAGTCTAAAAATTACAGATTATAAAAAGGAGGCTGAACAAAGACAATCTGTTCCATCTTTGCAGTAAACGGCAGCAGAGGTCACACGGTTGAGACGATGCTGTCAGCACGCCTAAATCTCTGCAAAGCCACGCTGAACCTGTGTAATATTTTAATCCCATGTAAATTAGAACGGAATTTAATGGATTAAATGAAAGCAATGTGTGTGACAACATGTGTGTTCTTGATTTTCTATATTTCTCAGGCCAAAAATTCTTTCATGTGCCGATATTTTGTGTTACTTACCTCTGAAAGCCTGGCTTTAGGTTTAGCTTTGGGTTTTACCACAGTCACTGTTTTGTCTGTCCTTCTATTGTATGTAATTACAGATTCCTGGATGTGTGCATTTGTCTCAATCTGTTTACACAGGAACGACTAAGGAGAAGTGGTGGTGAACAAACAGATACCGCCCTGATGTTGTACAGGATCACAATAACAAGAATGAAGTGTAGATGGTAAATCATAATTGTAAGACAGCTGTAATGTAAAAGTTTGCCTGGTCATTTGTTGATGAATGAATGAATATTAATTGTAGCGTCCTGTAGCTGTTCACAAATTAGCTACCTGGGGATCATGTGGTGGTGGATATGGTTTTAAGGGGGTTGGGTTTAAGATCTCGCTCCCTTGCTAATTCATGCAAGAGAGTTCCAGCAGCTGGTTGTATAATAAGCTAACTTAAATTAAATGCCAAGTACACACACAATCTCCGGGACCAAAAACAATGAAACTAGATTGAAAATAGAATACCTGCGATCACTGCAACGTATATGTATGACATCTGTGATTTCCATTATAGGCCAGATGCATGAACACGCTTATAAAATAATGATGATATGATGATTAATGCAAAACATGCTTGGAATCTGTCATCAAAAATAAAACTGGAAATGCAAAACATTAAAGAAAATAAAAGAAAGAAAACTCTCTAATGAATGGTGTACTGACTTTTGTTGCATTTATATACAGTTTATATATATATATATATATATATATATATATATGTATATGTATAGTTTAATTAGTCAGGCATCTCTGTTAAGAGAAGTGTCTTAGAGTGTGTGAGGAAAGTGCTGCACACAAACATGTTGAAGTATCACCCTCTCATCATAGCTGCTGCATCACAGCTTTAGATTGTTTGGCGTCATATTTGTAAATCTCTGTGATGTACACAGGGAAGGCCCCGATCTGTGTCTGAAGTTACTGTCAGTCGCTTATTTCTATCTTTAGTTGGACTCATGACATGTGATACTGAGAGAGTCTCTTCCCAGGCTGTGCATCGTTTATTATTTATGCTCAAAAAGACATTATATGTGAAAATAAAACAAGTGTGTGTGTGTGTGTGTGTGTGTGTGTGTGTGTGTGTGTGTGTGTGTGTGTGTGTGTCTTCCTTACACTCCACGGAGAGCTTCACAGGGTAAACCCACGGCCTCTCCTGTGTCTTCTGGTCGACCATGCAGGTCACCTCCCTGCCGTTGTCCGTCGGCGTGGGAACCAGGCGGTACTCGCTGCGTACCGTCACCGTCCCGTCCGGGCCGTTTGTGGTGCTGGTTGAGTGGTTTCCTCCGACCGATGCCAGCCACTTGATGGTAGCGGCCGGTTTGCCCTCCGCCGCCTCGCACTGGGCCACCACCACCGATTTGGTGCCAGCCTGGACAGTCACCACCTTGGCTGAGTTCTTAGGCTTGGCTGTGGGGGAGAGGATAAGAAAGAGAGGGAGAATTGAAAAAAGGGGGGGTGGTAAGAAAGATGGAGGGAAGATGTGAGAGGGAGGAGATAATAGGAATTCAGACATAGCACAAGGGATGAGGAGAACAGAGGAAAAAGAAAAATGGTAGTGGAAGGAAACAGATGAAAAAATAAAGGGTGGTGAAAGGAAAGAGACATCAAACGTGAGGCAGAGGAGGAGAGGAGGGAGGAGGGCAGGGAGAGAGCAGAGGAGGAGGAGGTTCAATCAGTTTGTTGTGCATATACACCGTGGCATCCCACTGTGGCTGTAATGAAACTCAGAGGAGGGGGAGGCATTCTGCTGTGACCCTGGGCCACTCGACATCAGAGAGACAGAAAGGGAAAGTGCAGACACATCCCAAAAAAAAAGTCGGCTACAGCATCTAAAGCTAAAAGTGTTACAAAGCATCACATTGTTTAAATCAAGTTTTTAGAACTTGCTCTTATATTAATCCACAACAAAGCACATCACTCATACATTGTAGCTTCAAAACTATTAACTTTTCATAAAGTATGAACAACAGCTTTGTGTTTGACTCGGGGATAATCCAGTTTTTGACATCAACCTGTGGAGTTTTGACTGAGCTACATCATCACAGCATTTTCTCACAGGTAATCCCTCAACTGAAGTGAAACATCAAACATCCCAATAGTTACGAGGCTTCCACATTAAAACTGTGATATGCAAAACATTGTTTCCCGTCTGCCGTCACATTAGCTTTGTTAAATCAAACTGGACTTGTTCTGTAAAGTGGCAATGTTCCATGAAAATGTCCTTCCTTTCTTAAAGGAAAAAAAACCCAACCTCTGACACCACCAATCAATCTGTAAATGTCAGTGAATTTCATTATTTTGTGTTGTCAAGTGTTGCAATTTCCTTTTTTTTTTTTAAACTTTTTGAATATGTCATCTTTTTCTGCAGAATGTGATCTTGTAAATTTCCCCTTTAATGCCTTTCAATGTGTTCTATAAAGCTCTATACAGACAGTAATGCACACACTGGAAGTGAACGATTTTACTTATCACGAAAAAGTCAGGCAATTATTGAAAACACATTTCTTTGTCGTTGCATTTCCTGCTGCTTTATTGAGGCTTCTGTCAGTGGAGGAACTGGCTTGTCTGTTTGTTCTTTGGTGGATTTCTTTCCATTAAACGGAGCCAGGGAAAGGGTCCCTGCTATTTCATTTTAAAGGCGCCGTAAGGATATATTTCTATTCATCTTTAAAATGGTTGAAAATTTTCACCAGTCAAATTCATTCATAATGAGAAAAATATACCAGTCATCGAAAAAATAAATGTACAAATGCCAGGTATATCATTAGCCTTTTAGAAATGCTTTCTGTTGAGGCCTTAGAAAACACTGAAATCATTTTAATGTGAAAAATTGAATCATCAGTCAAGGATTTGCTCTTATTGGGAAGAAGTAAATCCGCACCATGTTTCACATCGAGGTCAACTGACCAATACCAAGTCGTCTCGAGAGTCATGACCTTTAAGGAAGCAGAGCTACAGAGCAAAGCTAACGCTAGCGAACACTATCAACATCTTCCGCCCTCTCTATGATGGACAGCTTTTCACTCACCCAACTATAAACCCGTTTGAAGTCAGATGACACTTATTTTCTAGTAAACTCACATATTTAACAAACATGAAGTGATTCTGCAGCAGAGTGTGACAGATCAAATCATCTGATCAGCACGGCTGTGCTCACTAATGTCCTCCATTTTTATTCATTAGCTTGGTTTACTGGTAACTCAGTAGGACAGCAGTACTTCAAACTGGTAGTGAATTTTGAATTCAAAGAGGTAATCACAGGTCATATATGCATTTAATTCATTTTTTATATGTTTGTCAGCCTTTTGAAATAATTATGTAACAGGGTTGAGAAGGACAAATCCACTGCATCTGCTTTAATATGTACAACTTATTTTCTGATTAACAACTGACCTCCTTTAATTCCCCATCATTATTTTTTTCTTATTATGTCAATTCATAGTCTTTGTCATTAGCTATGTTTATTTGTGGATGATAGTGTCAGCTTTGTTGAAAGTTGAACTTAAATCAAAATCCAGGCAGAATTTAAAAGGTCTTCAAAACCTTATAGGACGGTGGATGAGACAAAAAACCTGAACAGACGTGGAGAGCCGAGACGAAACGAGACGAGAGAGGAAAGAGTTCGGACATGAAGGAGTTAAGCAAAAGAGATCAGAGGGGACACAAACAGAGAGGACAACGGGGGAGTTAAAATAGACAGAGTGAGAGAGAGAGACTGGCTGTGCAGAGAGGAGAGGAGAGTAAAGCTGGGAGGTGGAAAGGGGTTTGGATTGATTCGGGAACTTTAACAAGTCGGGAGAATCCATCCCTGATGTGTTTCGTGACATTGCATCCAATTGAGCCCGCTGCTACTCCTCACATCGGTCTGAGGCATTCTGAGTACAGAGTAATTAGAAAGCAAGCGGGAAGCCACGCCAACAGAGGTGAATACTGGTAAACACTGCACCCCCCCCACACACACACACACACACACCCCACCCTGTGGTAGTATAAGCAGGCTGAATGCCAGCGACTGACAAGGAGACAGGAGAAATGCATTACAGTAATCTTTCCAAACACCATTAACTGCATGAGGTGTGTTTGGTTTAGGAAACCAGGCACTTAAAAAGCTTGAGAGGTGAACACATCTCTGCACAAGTCATATTCACCACATGCTTTGATTTTAAATATTCAAAATGCCTTTTGATAAGTGCTTGGCCAAGGATTTAGGTTTTTATAACAGAAACATCAGTTATAAACTTTTCCAAACGAACATATGTGGACTACAGTATGGAGGTATGATTTGCGCTCCAGAAACAATTAGATTTCAATTTCTAAATTTAAATCTTGGGCCATTTGCGTGTCGTCTCTCAGAGAGACATGTGCTGTGAAACTGTCCCTGTAGCTGTTTGGGATTCTCATACGCTTACCCAAAGTTGAACCTGGGACTTCTCTAAGACAGTCTTTCTTCTCACCTTGGCAGCTCTCACAGAACAAGGCCTGCGACTGGAAGATTTCCAGTTTGAATCCTAAACAAATTGGGAATATCTGCCAAGTGTGAAGATTTGTAACTGAGTGTGAAGCCGGCTGTTGCAGGATTAAGGTGGCGTTGTCACAGGACAGCTGACATCTGTCATAGTCACAGAGTTTGTGTTGAAACCAACCAGGCACCCAGTTAGAAAACACTGATGGAGCCATCACTTTTGGCTGGAAAGACACCAACACTAACCAGGATGTGGACCAGAACTGGGCCAGATTGGAGCCAGACTGGAGTCTTTTGAAGACCCAGCTAAATCAGATTACAAGAGGTTTGTCGCACTTGGTCCAGAATCCAAATGCTGCACATATCTTACACGTGGCTGCTTAGACTTTTTGGACTGAAACCCGTCACCATTTGCTGCTTCAAATCAACCAGATTTAAATTCACTGTCCCCAGAGGATGAATCCTAATGACTTTAATGATCGCCTGACTTTTCCTCTAGTGACACAGAGATGTTGACATTTTAGATTTTTAGTTAAATGTCTCAATGACTATTTGGAAATTAGCATTTAGCTCAAATTAGCTAGGTATGACTTTGCAGAGCTGCTAGCATGGCTCTAGACTCTTAAGCTGTGTCACACAGTCTATGAAGTACACCACAAAGGCCGAACCCAAATGAGACGGCCCGGTCGATGGAGGATTTTCGCTTTGCCCGCCCTTACCGTTACATCTAAAGTGCAGCTCCTGTTGCCTAACTAACTTTTTTTCACTAAAAGTTGAGGTTTTAAGGGCCTTGGTTCTAACAGTTGTACTGTTAGCTGTTGGACTGACCTGAAACCCAATACTTACATTTAAAAGTGTAATCCTCAGGCTCTGTCAGTGTTGTTTGCTTTCATTACCCGCGTGCATTGAATCTTGGGATAGGTTGGGCCTCGAAGGATCCACCCGGATCGAGCCCAGGAAAACAAGGACACATTTCTGAGCCGTATTTGAAGGAGCCTTCAAAATGGAACAGTCTAGTCGCGCCACTGTGACCCAGTCGATCTTCAAATGCAGCCTCAGAAGGATGCGGCCCAGCTTTAGTCTTGTTCTTTGAGAAATCAAAAGTCTCATTTTTAACTGATTTTTGTCACTATGCTTCTTGATGTTTTCATACAATGCCCCCCCGTCTGTCAGCGTCATCCATCAACTCATCTCCATCTGTCTTGAATTCATCCCCAGCAGGGGGAAGACAAAGAGAGTAAATCTGACCACTTTGTGAATACCTAGCTGTGAACCCTAGAGCCACAGAGCTTTGTTTTTCTATACTTCAACTCTGTTGGTTCAAGCACAAAATGGAAACAAGCTAAATGCTCTATATTGCCTACAACAACAACAACAACATGTCACTATTGTTCAGCTGGGGTTCTGACATGCAGTAGGATCACCAAACTATGTCTGGTAACACTGACGCTGAGGCTGCACAGCACTCAGATTTGGATTTAGCAGCACTGGCTGGTGGCACATATCAATCTTTCCTCCTCCTCTCTTTCTCTCTAAACATGGATTTATTCACTGCCGTACCCTGATGAATGCAGCCAAGTGATGTATTTTTGTTTTTATTTTCTACTTTGCTGCATACATTAGCCAAAAATCAATAAAGGCTTCTGGATCTTGTTACGTTTTTGGAATTCATGTCTCACCAGCTGCCCAGGTTTGTAAACATCTCTCAGCTTGACACACTGCTGTTGAATATTTCCAGACATTGTTGGGAAAAACATCTGTTTGGCTCTCAACGTCTCCTCGACTGTTAACAATAAATGAATATTCAAGGAAAACTAGAATAGTTTATACTGCAATTATTCTGCAGTGTGTGTTGTTTTGACATCTCATTACTGGCTGTTAGAAATGTTGACAAAATGTGTTTATTTAAGCTTGAGACTGATTTAGCTAATTCAAGTTTGAGAGC